ACACACACACACACACACTCTCTCTCTTTCACACACACACACACTCACACACACACACACACACACAGACACACACTCTCTCTCTCGCTCTCTCTCTCGCTCTCTCACACACACACACACACACACACACACACACACACACACACACACATAGAGCAGACAGAAGGGTGTGTGTGTGTGAGATGAGGCTCAGAACGTGATCTGACTCAGCAGCTGAAGCGTCCTGCAGCTCATGCTAATGAATGCATCTGAAGGACACACACTGTTGCCTTCAGCATCTACAGCAGCACTTCTCTGTTTAAAGCAACAGTTCACCCCAAAAACGGACATTCTGTCATTATTTACACACCCGTGCGCAAGTCTTTTGGAAAATAAATAAGGAAATTATGCAATTCATTGGACAGAATTCCAGCCAAATAGCTATTCTTAAATATAATATACTATAATTACAATTATTAATAATATAAATAAGCTTATAAAACATTATACATTTTATAAGAATGTAAAATAATTCAATAAATATACAATTATATTTCACTGCTATAAATATACTTCATTTTAAAGATGATATAATAAACATATATAATTAAGAATATAAATAAGTTTTACAAATGTTATTCATTTTATTATAATAGAATTATATAAATATATGTATATTTAATTGTTATCTGTCTAAATATATTTAATTTTAAATATATATAATATACTTATAAAATTATTAATAATATGAATAAACTATATAAATGCTATGCACTTTATAATAATATTAAATAATTATGTAAATATATAATTACATTCACTATTATCTGTTTAAATATAATACAATATAATTAATTTAATATATAAATACAATAAACTAAAATAATTATTTATAATATAAATAAGCTTTATAAATATTAAACATTATACAGTATATATAATTTAAGTGTTATCATCTAAATTATGCAATTCATTGGACGGCATTCAAGCTAAATATAATATAATAATCTTTATAAATGTTATACATTTTATAATAATTATATAAATATATATTAATATAAATTATTACCTAAAAATATGAGTTAAGGTTAAAAATGTGATACTGTATTTTTTAAATCATTTCGTAATTAAATAAGTATAATATTACTATAATAAAAAATTAAGCAAGTAAATAATGTGAATAATTATATAAGTCAGTGAGTAAATAATGACTGCTTTCATTTTTGGGGGAACTATTCCTTTCAATTTACTGACTTGATGAATAGATGCATGAATGAATGAACGGACACAGAGGATCAATGAAACTATAAGCAAGGGTGTCTTGAATTGGAGGGGATTCTGAACGGCCAGGGATCCGTTTGAGGAAGTGCTTTGGTTTGGAAGCCCAAACTTACTGTGTCGCTTTCACTGTGAGGCTCTGAGCCGTAATGCAGGGGCGAATAAACCCAACTCCTGTCCTCTGGAGGCTGCAGACGCACCGCCGCCACATCAGAGGGCGTCACACACACACACACACACACACACACACACACACA